TTTCTGGGCAATTCTTAGTCATCTTCCTATCCTCACTCCTCAGAAATTCATTAAAGGGTCGGACTATTTTGGCGAAACCATCCATGAATCGTAAATAATTGGAGCAGAACCCTAGAAATTACCTCAGTTCAGTCATGTTGCTTGGTGTTGGTCAGGACGTGACAGCTTCTAACTTGCTTCTGGTCAGTGACCACTTCTTCAGCGGAGATAAAGTGTGCTTTTCATGCTCTTTGAGCATTCTGCCAAAGACAATGATGTCGTTCAAGTACACAAGCACAAGTTCATGTCACCCACTGTACACTCCATCAGTCACTGAAAGGTTGTGGGGGCTCCCGAAAAACCTTGAGCCATCTTGTTATACTCGTAGAACCCCAACGGGCAGATGAAGGCAGTCTTCTCTCAAACCTCTGGGTGCAAGGGGATATGATAATATCTACTTCTTAGGTCCAACACACTGAATTCCTTCACCCCTTACTGGCATTGTAGAGTATCTTCTATTTATGGGGTGGTGTATTTGTCAGGGATATCCTTCCTGTTGAGAGTGCGACAGTCAATGCGCAGTCTCAGGGAACTGTTCTTCTTCCAGACCACCACTATGGGAGAAGCATAAGGACTCTGTGACTCCAGACCTCTCCAGCTCTGTGAACTTCTTTTGGAGGTCTTTCAAATCACCCAGAGGAATCCCTTGAGATCTTTCCCTAAAAAAGCTTGTCTTCCCGAATGCAAATTCAGTGCTAGATGCTCTTCACACACCCCATGTTGAAATCACTCTTGGAGAATATCTCCAACCATTTCAGGAGTTGAGCTTTGGGCTTCTCCATCCACTCAGGTGTAATCAAGGTATTCTTTGGATAAAATGTCTCTACTGAAATCTCTTCTTCTGCTCCCACCATCAAATCAGATGGTGAGACTTCGGTAGCTGTATTTACTTGCCCTATTAGCATTAGAGGCCCGTAACTTCACTATGGAGTCAGTAACATTGCAAACACCAACAGAAATTCTGTGATTTTGCTTCAAAGCTCTGTTTGACACTACTTCAAGGATCAGCTCCACCCCAGTATCATTTCTCCTATGGATCAGTTTCAAGGACAACAAAGGGCCATAGCTAGGCCCAGTTCAACTTGACTGAAGCATGTAGATATGAATGCTGCTGCCAGACTCATCCACCTTACTAACTGTTCTGTATCTGCCACCCCTCTCTACCAATCCCTGCTCTGGCTTCCAATTGCCCAAAGGATAAAATTCAAAACATTAACACTGACGTATAAAGCCATTCATAACACTGTCCCAAATTACATCACCGATCTTGTCTCTAAATATCACCCAAACCATACTCTCCGCTCCTCGCAAGACCTCCTACTCTCTAGATCCCTTGTCTCCTCCTCCCATGCTCGTCTCCAGGATTTCTCCAGGGCTTCCCCCATCCTCTGGAACTCCCTACCCCAATCTTTCAGACTATTGCCTTCTCTGCTCACTTTTAGGAGCACTCTGAAAACCTATCTCTTCAGGGAAGCCTATCCTGCCCTCAGCTAATACTGGAATCTTCTACTCTTCCAACCAGTCCATCCCCCACAGTTATTACCTTTTGTACCACTATCCCCTCCCTCCTAGATTGTGCTTGACAAACAGTAGTGGTTGACAAACACTAGAGCATAATGATTCCCTGAGGAGATCTCAACCACCGTGAGAAAATCCATAGTAGGTAATTCAGATGGTAAGGGATAGTCCTTCCACTTTGACCACATGTCCCAGGTACTGCATCTGAGACCACAGCAGGTAATATTTATTTGGCTTAAGTTGGAGTCAAGTTTAGCCAAGTAAGAACCTAATCTAAGTGTTGAATGTGGTCCTAAAAGGTCACAGAGAATATAGTTAAGTCATTCAGGTAAATGAGAATGGAATTAAAGTTCAGATCTCCAAGGCACTGTTTTATCAGTCTCTCCCACATGAATATCTATAGCAAAGATACATCCGTAGATTTCTAGGACCTTAGTAAAGTGGAAGATATCTTTTATGATTAACTGCTTTCCTTGTGTCATTTGCTCTGGAGTCATCTCTTGCAAGTGGAGAGCAAGTTATTCAAGCAAGCATAGGAAGTGAGGGTCTTTCAAATCTTGATTGGATGCACATGCAGCCTCTACATCAGGACAGGCAATGGTGATATATTTCTTTGGCACAGAGTAAGGATTTGCAAAAGCCATTTGCAAGGGTAGCCAAGTAGGGGAAGTTCCTACATTAAGAGTCTGAACTAGAACCCTCCCTCATTACACTACAGGCATAGTGTGAGTCACTACCCACTTGCCTCTCACCTTATTTGGACTCTGCCATGAAGCTAGTTCCTTAGTTTCTCTCTAATTCCCACTAGATATGGACACACAATTTATTTTCAAGTGTTGTGTTATTGTGGCAAGATGGAAGGTGTACTACCACCAATCTTTCGGTCTCTGTTTTTCTGTGTCTAGTGGTAACAAGTGTCATCAAGTCTTTGTAGCTGACTCCGTGCTAGTCAGTTCACAGAGGATTTATTGGTTTGAGAAGAGGCTTCCTTAAGTAGCTTCCACCACCACTGCCACCATTGAGGATGAAGGTTCTGTTATCCCACTGACTATGCAAAAATGCTGCTGGGGCTGCTTGGATGGCAGCAATTTTATAGGACCAGGTGAGGGAACTTCTAGCAATTTTTTGGTTTTATCTAATGATTAATGAACAGTAGGGCAAAGCACTAATATCTGTATGCCCAATAAGGCACTTTCCAGTTCTGTAACAAGGCAATCAATAAGCAGAACCAGGTGGCAGTGTATTTGAGGAGTACTCAGGTTTCCTTGACTGAAATAACATAGCCACTTGATAGGGTGCTGTGCTGGCAGTACAGGGCACACAAAAGCATGCACTTTGCACAAGAAAAGTTCTGTGCTACATGTGTTTTAACTGTTTTTAGCCTTTGGAATTTTTGACTAAATAAAGAACAGTGATATATGATAAGAGGCCTGGACTTTGTTATCTTAGATTGCTGCATTTTGCTACTTACTAGGAGGCTTGATGTCAGAAGTGTGGGATCACCAAGGGCAATCTCTTCTACACAAGTCTTTACTTGCATTGTTGGGAATATATGCAAACAACATGTTTTTGTTAATGTTACAAATATTAATGTAGTGCTACTCCTGTAGGAGCTCCAGGAATACTGTCCAGGTCTTTCCCAAAAGCTTTGCCCCACAGCCAGACACACATGCTCACTCACAGGTTTCTTCAAAGTTCAGTCTAGGGGTGTTGTTGTTTTTAATTTTTGGAGAACTTTAATAGGGATGAGGGAGATGAGTGGGATTCTTCAAAATAAGAACTATGTACAATTGAGAATGTCAAGCTATGTTAGAGTCCATGCTTGAAACAAACAGTGGACTTCAGCTTTACATATTAGTAGTAGCAATAGCAGTGGTAGCAGTAGCGGTAACAGTAACTCCCTTTAACAAAGAGGATAGATGGACAAAGCTATTCGGAACACCAGCTGGTACTCCTTTTACTAGACCTGCAGTTGGCTCCCTAGCACCGAAGGGGGGGGGGGGGATTTAAGCAGCACATAGTCTCTAAGATCCTTTAGAGGTGTCTGTACTCAAAAGACCCAAGAGCAGCTGGATGCCCTCCTCCATGATACTAGACCAGATCTTCAGTAGACGGTCCTCAGTCACCTTAGCAGAACCCGAGTCTTGGCATTCAGACAATAAGCTCGCTCACCTGAGGGTGCATGGCAGTTGTTGCCTGGGAGGGCAATATGCTCTCTCCTACACTTGACCAATCCTGGACGGGAAAAGACCCAGAGCTCAGTGTGCTCACTGAATATTTACAGTTACCCAGCATGCCATCAGAACCAGTCTCTCCGGGATAGGCTGGGGCTTCCCTTAATCTATCCATTCTTATATGTGCTCTAATTATGGAGGTTTTGGAAACTTAGAGTTAGGACCACAGTATATACAGAGGTCCCATTGCATGGACACTGTGGCTTATGTATATATTTGCAACTAGGTGCAAACAAAAACCCTTTGTTTTTAAGGCAAACTGTTAGACAAGGCAAATTTGGTTGCTTTGCAGGTTAGTCGGTAAGTGTGCTGGGAAATCGTTTGTTTGTGTTGTGCATTGCCCTTCCATGAGCACCTTGTTGCAAAGGCCAGTTATAGATTGGGGTAGTTGTCACTTTTTTGTGCTGTATCAATATTCATGCTTCCATCTGCATAGCTCCATACCTATGATCTAGCGGCTTCCCCTCCGCCCAATGGTAGAAATACTGCTACAGGGGTGCGCAAAATCACGTATATATACATGATTTTTGCAGTTCCATTCACGGCCTCAGCTGTCAATTACCAAGTTCCAGCCGGTGATTACTCGCCGGCACCTGGAGATCGCCGAATATTACCGAAGGGGCAGAGAACTGTATGTAAACAATACAGCTCTCTCCCCTGTCAGCTCCTGCACACTGCTTTGTATGGCTCTGCATAGCAGAGCCATACAAAGCAGTGTGCTTACAGTGGACAGCACACACACACAGTTAACCCTTTGATCGCCCCAGATGTTAACCCCTTCCTGCCCAGTGTCATTAGTACAGTGTCAGTACTTTTAATTAGAACTGATCACTGTATTGGTGTCACTGGGGATGTCAGTGACACCAAGTCAGTTCCCCTCAGTGTCAGAATGCCCACCACAGTCCTGCAGTCCCACTATAAGTCACTGATCACTGCCATTACTAGTAGAAAAACAAATTCCAGTATATATACCACCATTTGTAAACACTATAACTTTCATGTTAATTTACACATATTGGGATTTTTTTTAGCAAAGACATGTAGCAGAATACATTTTGCCCTAAATTTATGATGAAATATGATTTTTTTAATGTTTTATTGGAAATGTTTAATAGCAATAAGTCAAAAATCTTTTTTTTGATAGTCAGCACTGATAGGCGGCACTGACTAGCGGCACTGCTGGGCATTGACTGGTGGCACTGACTGGCAGCACTGCTGGGATGCACTGATGGGCACTGGTAAGTGGCACTGGTGGGCACAGGTGGGTGGCACTGGTGGGCACAGGTGGGTGGCACTGCTGGGCACAGGTGGGCGGAACTGGTGGGTGGCACTGCTGAGCACCGATCATCAGTGCCGATCCCTGCTCTGACAACTGCCGGTTCTCTTTTGCCTTAACCATAACTTTTTTTGGTACCAGAATATATATTATTTGCAAATAAGGGGCGTGGCTATGGGTGCCTGCTTTGCACCTAGTATTGCAAACTTATACATGGCAAAATGGAAGGAAGAAGCAATATTTAATGATATCTGTAAAGAAGTGGTTATATATAGTAGATTTATTGATGATATTATATTGTTTTGGAATGGAGATGAAACATCATTAACTAATTACTATCAGAAATTGAATATAAATGATAAGAACATCACCTTGAGTTGGAATATTAGTAATAGTGAGATACATTTTTTGGATATAAGAATCGTTAATACAGTTACGCATATCATTACTAAAAACTATTTTAAGAAAACAGACAGAAATTCATATATCCTGGTTAACAGTTGTCACCATAAACCGTGGATTAAAAACATACCTAGGGGTCAGTTTCTTTGCCTAAGAAGAAACTGTACCAATATAGAGGATTACAAAGAACAAAGTAATGTATTAATTCAGAGGTTTATAGATAAAGGTTATAAAAAAAGAAATGATAGAAAAAGAAAGTAGAGAAATAGAATTGGTGGAGGGAAACAGTTTATTAGAAAATAAGAACCAAAGAAAATTAGAAGAATATGAGATATCCATAGTATTACCATATAACAAACAGTATAAAGATGTCCAAAAAATTATAAACAAACATTAGGGTATACTCAAATTGGACAAGGATTTAAGAACTATTATTAAAGATAAACCCAGATTTATATATAAAAAAGCATTTCATATCAGAGATCGAGTTGTAAAAAAATGTATTAGAACCCCCGAAAACATTAAATGGTACACTTAGTTTTTTCAAGGTACTGGATTTTACAAATGTGGCCGCTGTTACAGCTGTAGAAGAACGCTTAAGAACCCGAAATGTAGACAAGAATTTATTAATCCAAAAAATGGAAAACACTACAAAATAGATCAATTTATATCCTGTGATACCAAAGGTGTAGTATATGCTCTGAAATGCTCATGCAACCTGTTATATATAGGTCGTACAAAAAGAAGTCTAAAAGAACGCATTAAAGAGCATATACATATTATTAGTATTGGTTTTAAGTATCACCACTTATCTCTACATTTTCAGAATTGCCACAACCGAGAAGTAGATAAGATAGAATTTTGGGGTATAGTTAAACATACCCCACATTGGAGGGGTGACAATTTAATCAGGGAAATCAGTAAAAAAAGAATCATTTTGGATGTATGAATTAGGTAGTTTAGCCCTAAATAAGGATTAAATAAGGATTTTGATCTTTCATGTTTTATTAGTGACTTATAGTTCAGAGCTATGTTTAAGATTAGGTAATTTATTTCATTATCCATTAGAATTGTAAGAGATTGATTATGATTAATGGGATTCAATTTTAAATATTTTATTTTTCTACATAAAAATTATATATGGTAAAAAGTTATTTTTTATAATTTTTAAATAATATTATTTAAATTTTAGTAAATTTTACTATTTTCTACTTTGAGGGGATCCTTAACCTGTGTGAGCCGTAGAATATTGCTGGTGTATGTTTTCTGGCCGAAGTGCAACGTAGGTATATACATAATTGAAACAAATTTGTCAAATCCTGTGCGGTTAGTAAGCTCTGTTTGACCCCAAAAAGATGGGCGCTCCCACGCTGTCTCCAGGAAAATGGTGGAGATAGCATATATAAAGCAGTATGAGTGCAGTGACTGTCCAATCACAACCCACTGATGAAGCCACGTGACCTATGGCATAACGCGTAGGGGTGGGGCTACAACGTCACTCGGCACCAGAGAGAGCAGACGGCAAGTACATATGCTGGCGGTTTACACAGGCTTAATACACTCAAAGCGGTTTTTTTATTTATTTAATGTGAGTGCATTGATTGAGAGTGGTGGAATAAAGGTAAGTCTTTTTAAAGGATAAAGCACTATGTCTTCATTTTTGCCTTTGACACTGAGGAACGTTTAAGGAGGAGTGAGCAGGGGATCTTGAGCAGCTGAAGGAGGGAGAAATCCCTGCAGGGATATCCAGCGCTATAAAAAAAAGGGGAAAGCATTGTGGTGTCCACAAGAAGTACCCAACATCCATCCTATACTGCAGCAAATTTAGCAGGTTCCAGGATATGTGAATCAAAAGTGCAATAAGCCTATATATTAGGCATAGAAGGAGGTGAGCGTACATCTAAATTGATTGAAGGATTCACGGAAAGTCACTATATTGTTTTGATCACCTCATCACCAATATTGGACTATTATTTGAATAATGAGACTATTATTTTGTTTTTCATCACGTTCATTTATGTGTATTTAAATATTTGATATCTTCACATTATTTTGATCATATAGTTTAATTGAAGTCATGTATTTTACACTATATATTTTTGTAATTAGGAGCGCAACATTTATAGATATATGGTTAAATTGCACAGTTGCAGTTATGTGTTAATGTTAGCGATCCATAGGGGTTTATTGTTTGTTTGGCTCGCAAGTTATATACACTTGTCTATTTTTGCGGTTCTCGGCAGTACTTTTTCTCACGCTCTGACAGCAATTGCATTTCCCTGTGATCAATGTGTCATTGCACATGGCTGATCATGTGGTAAAAGGCCGATATGATTGGCCTTTTACAACATCACGTCATCAGCTGTGTCCGTCCCCGGGGTGCGCAGGAGAGCATGTTCTGGGAGGACGTCATATGACGTCCACCCAGAACTGGCTGGCCGCAGTGCAGCCGTCATTTGGCTACTGTATCTGCGGTCAGCAACTAGTTAAAATAACCCAGCGCCTTAATGCAAAAAATGGCCCGGTCAGGAAGGGGGATAAATCCTCTGGAGGGCAAGTCGCTAGAAAAATATAAAAATATACAAAATTAAAAATAAAAAATTAAAAAAAAATCCTGATCACTTGCCCAGAGTAGTTCAATGTTACTATGGTAACATTGTATTGCTTTGGTCACAGTGTGTTGAAAAAAAAATTAAAAATAATGTAATAAAAAATAAAGAAAAATAGAAACATTTGAAAAACCAAATTAAGTTATTATTATTTTTTTTTTTACATACTGTCACCAGTCAGTGTCTCTGATCACCGCCACACCAGTTATATAATAATGCTGTACTGGACTGGTGACAGTATGTAGTTTTTTTGGAAAATGTAGAAATTGAAAAAAAAAAATCGCAATTTGTTTTTCAATTTCTACATTTTCCAAAAAATTGTAACAAAAAATTACAACCTCCAAAAAACTCACCATGCTCTTACTAAATACCTTGAACTGTCTATTTTCCAAAAATGGGTGATTTGGGGGGTATTTGTACTATCTTGGCATTTTTGGGCCTCAAGAAATTAGATGGGCCATCAGTACATCAGGATCAGGGGCAGACTGACCATTTGGAAACTCGGGCACTGCCCGAGGGCCCTGTGTCAGTAGGGGGGGCCCCATGAGATGCCCCTGGTACCTTTTTCATAGGCTTTTTTGAGTTTTGGCAAGGACACAGGGGCACCATGATCCCCTATTGCCTGGGGGCCCTATGAGTTGTCAGTCCGCCCCTGATCAGGATTGATCAATTGTCAGATATATATACAGTATATATACCTTAGTTTTCTACAAACTAAATAATGTACACTAATTTGGGGTATTTTCACCAAAGAAATGTAGCAGAATACATTTTGACCTAAATTTATAAAAAAGTGTTATTTATTTGCAAAATTTTATAAAAGAAATGAAGAAAAATTAATTTCAAAAGTTTCAAGGTTTTCTTGTTTTATTTAGCAAAAAAAAAATAAAAAAAGCTCAGTGGTGATTAAATACCACCAAAAGAAAGCTCTATTTGTGTGAAACAAAAAATGATAAAAATGTAATATGGGTACAGTGTTGCATGACCGCGCAATTGTCATTCAAAGTGCAACAGCGCTGAAAGCTGAAAATTGGCCTGGACAGGAAGGGGGTAAAAGTGTCCAGTATTGAAGTGGTTAAAATCTAGCTGCTCTTTGAATATATATGTATATCTAAAAAAGCATACATTCCCTTCAGAGGCAGCTTTAGAAAGTGAATAAGGTCAAAAGACTGTTCACTTTGCAAAGGAATTTTTATTTTGAAACAGAATATTCCCTTTGCTTAGTGAATGCGCTGAAAATTCACTTTGTCGAGGAATACACAATTATATGCAAGGAACATGAAAAAAAGAAAAACAGTATTTCTACTTGCACGTGATTGGATGATGGAGGTTAGCAGAGCTTCACCTCATTCACTAAGCTAAGGGAAAATTCCTTTGCAAAGTGAACAGCCTATTTGTCTTTAGTAAATCAACCTGAATCTGTTAGGTCAGGAAACAATGCAACTCTGCTAAATTCAGAAAGTGCCAGGGTTCATGAAGACCGCTCTACTTTAGAAGCAGCTAGCTGTCTTGGAGCTGGTGTGCTCGGCAGAGGTAGTCAGCGCCTGCACCATGGAAACAGGGGAAGAGCTCATGGGGGGGGGGAGGGGGTGTTGGAATTCTGTTAAAGTGCCTGTATAGGCAAATCCTAAGAACCCAAATTTACAATGCCAAGCAACTAAACATATTTACAGGTGTCAGTGTAAAATATGCTTCACTTGATTTTTTTTAAAGTGTGTAATCCCCTATTTTAATTTCTCATGCTTTGTTGTCTTTCAAAAAAAAATTAAGTTGCAGTGGATAGGAATATTCTGTAGCCTGTGCTTCATCTACGACACGGGTGTTAAACTGGCGGCCCGCCAGCTGTTGCCAAACTACAAGTCCCATGAGGCATTGCAAGATTGACAGTTACAAGCATGACTCCCAAAGGTAGAAGCATGATGGGACTTGTAGTTTTGCAACAGCTGGAGGGCCGCCAGTTTGACATCCCTGATCTATGAGAATGCTGCAGGCTGCAGATAT